TTGAAAATTTTTTAGAAAACCCTTAGAATTTTTTTTTTTTTTTTTTTTTTTGAAAAAACAAGGAAAATGTCTGAATTTGAAAAGTTGAAAAACTGCTGGAAAATGCTCAAATTTGAGATTAAACTCAGAAAATAGAGAAGATAAAACGGGAAATTTCTGAGACTCACAAGTTGAATATTTTCAACTTTTGGAAATTTTCTAAGTTTCAAAAGTCTTCTGAATCTTTGAAATTTTTCTAGCAAATTTGCAATTTTTGAAACTCAGAAATTTCCTTTTTTTCTGAAAATTTTCTTAGATTAATCTCAAAATTTCTAATTTTTTCTAACAATTTTTTGACTTCTCATTGTCAGAAATTAAATTGTTTTTTCTAGAAAATTTCTGACACCTTGGTAGAAATTTATTTCTTTTGATCCATATATATAATGACCCTAATACACCGCTGTAAGTCAAATTAAATATATGACTTTTTACAAAGCATAATTCAGAATTAAAAAAATCCAAGCTAACGTTTTTGCATTGAAAGGTGGAACGTCCACCACATGCTTTTATTTTGAAAACCTAAACAGGAAGCACATCCATTTAGCGCTAGCGTTTGCAGCGTTGATGGTCTGTTGTCATCCGTAGCTTCACCGTCACCGTCCTCCCACAACAACACTCCGGTGAACCAGAAGAAGAGCACACAATGGGGCTGTAATGTCAGCGACGCCTGGGATCGGAGCATCTCCTCGCAACCGCCGAGACTGTGTATGGATTTAATGATGATGAAGAAGAAGAAATTCAAGTTCAGGGTGGATTTTGAGCTGGACGAGCTGTCGTCGGTCCCCATCGTAAACGGTGTCCTCTTCTGTAAAGTCAGGCTGCTGGATGGCGGCTTCTCCGAGGAATCTTCACGGTAAAAAGGAAAATACTTTACTTGGAACCAGTGTTCTGTCTCTGTTTAGCGTTTAACTCCGTGGTAGAAACGTTAACAGATGGTTAGCTAAGTGCTACATGACTAACGTTAAAATGAGCCAAGTCAAATGAAATGTTTTAGTAGTAAAGCTGATGTAAAATTAACCATCTTTCAGGATATTTATGTTAAATATAACTAAATATCTATCTAAGACAAACGCAGGAGCTGTCACCTGTTCGTCATTTCATAATAAATTTGTACTTCAACTTTTTCAAATTGTACCTCGAAAACCTAGTTTAGCTTCAAGTCATGAAGGTAAAACCTGCACAGTGTTAAAGTAATTCACGGCATCATAATGGTGTTTAATTGAATATCTTATTTGCAGTTTAGTTGGAAGGGAAGTACTGTTGTACCATAAGAGCCAATGTGTTTTATAGCTTATAAGTGTACATAACACACCTGAGCCCTATTTGTAATAGATATATTAGTTACGTTATAGGAGTTGTTTATTAAAACAGCCAATTTAGTCTCACAGAAATGGAAAAATCTCTAAAATTATGGATCTACTTTGTCAATAATAACAAAAATATTCTTTAAGATGCTTCTCATCCAAAAGTCTTCTTCATTTGTGTTAAAAAAACAGAGACCAGTTAGACAGCCCTGGATCCCATATATACACTGATGAAATACCTTTTTTGCACTGAATTTTATGTTTCCAAAACATACTGCAGTAACAAACGATGAGTGACAATTTGAAAGAGTCAGTTTGTGTCGGTTTAGACACAAATGTTCATTTGTTTAGTATCAGTTACAGCGAATTATCTCCATACATATAGGCCTGTCTTAATAGCAGATTTTGCCGGACGACAAATTGTCCCAGAAGTTAAAGCTTTAAATGATAATATTGTTGTTTTGAAATACAAGAACACATGATCAAAGATCAATACACTTTAAATTGTAATGAAAATTTAACACTGGAACTGGAGGACATTTTAAATATCCAAAATAAATGAAACAACAAATAAAATGAATCATGAAGTCTCTGTAAACAAACTTGTACTTAAAAAAAGGGACAGTTGAGACCAGACTGAAGACTTTTACCATCCAGTTTTTGGTAGAAAGAGAGAAGAGAGAAAAATGACAAGTCATACAAATGATCTATTGGTCATGGGCTTCCAACCAAACTCTGGACTCCAATGATGCCAGAACCGCTTACAACAAACAAACTTGTCACAGTTGCTGTAAGATTTTAGGTGTTTTGGTTTGGAAGAAAGTATTTTAAAATGATGGCCACCAGTTTGCCTGTATGAAAGAAACTTGTGTGTGTAGGGAACCAAAACTGTGATTTTGGAGCACACATCCCCAACAAGCCGTTCCCGATGCTTTCAGAGTGAAGGAGAGTCTGCAGGTCAGATCAAGGAAAAACTGGAAATTGGTATCTTCTGAAAAAACTTGATCAATTAACTTCATTGGTTTCATTTTATTATTTTTTTGCAATTAAATACTAAGAAATTTAAAGCTTGCATTTGCTGGATAAATTTTTTTACTTTCTTTAGATCTTTATTAGTTGATTCCAAGCAATGGAAACATAGATACACTGAGATGAGTGCAGTCATGTTAAAAAGAAAGTACACCCCTTCGTCAGTTCAAGGGTGAGTTGGCTGATTTTGACATCTTAAGCCAAGTTTATAAAGTTAATCCCAACAAATGTGATTGCTTTTATAAAAAAAAAACACTGGATAAATCTAATACGGAAGGATTTCTTTAGAGCAAACATGTCAAAAACACATTTTTAAAAAATGTTTCATGACTGTACATGTCTGCTTCGATCATCCTGTGTTTGATCAGCTCAGCCAAGCAATAATATAAGTTTCCTATTAGGAAGATGAAACCGTACTTTCTTTTTTTTTTATCAAAATTGTTTATGTGGAAATAATTTAAGGAGTTTGTTTAACTTACAATCTGAAGTCCTACAAGAGAAACGTGTGCAAAGGCTGCTGATGGTAATTTAATGCCTTTTCATACACATATATTTTCATATATCAAATAATTCATCCTATTAATTCTAGTGAATCAGAGTCATTTTCTTGTTTTTGACAGTTACATTACTTATATATATATATGTATATATATATATCACATGCTGTAAATATGTGTAATGTTGGTAATAAACATGAAATAACTTCTTTTTTTCTATTAAAATACTCAAATTATGAACAGGTGGAAGAAAAACCCATTAAAAGCCGAGCAGTTGACCCTGTTAGGGTCATGTGACTCTGTTAGCTGTAAAACCATTTAAAAGCAGTGGTTGGAAATATCACCAAACTGTAAAACTGTAGAGAAAGACGACGTCCCAGCGGCCGGCTGTGACAGGAAATGACCTGCATCCTTTATTCACGGTAACCCTGAGTAACTGGTTCATGTTTATGCTGTTGCTGCCGACAGTTTGACGCAGGAAAAGTCCAGTGGCTGACGCTGCCTCGTAAACCAGATCAGCTTTAACCGAGAGGGGAGCCATTGTTTCAGGGTGATGCAAAATTACCTCAAACATTTGCACAAAAAGAAGGAAATGATAAAAATAAAAAACAATTAAAATACGATAATTTAGTTTGTTTTTAGGGTTGTGGCAACAACAGATGTTTAAAGCTTATTTTTAGATGTTTGCTTTGTTCCCATTTATTTTCTTTGGTACATCTGTTGGTATTTTACATTTAATTAGACGCACTGATCACACGTTTCCCAGCCAAAACCAATTAGGTAATTTTAAGCCAGTATTGTCCAAAGTCTGAGTCGGCAGGTCCGGCTGAAAACTGTAATCCGTGCGCCCCGACTAATTTCTGAATTTATTTGATAGATTTTATAATTTATTTTATTTTTTCCAGCATTTGACCGAAATGATGACTTAAAAAAAAGTCTGATTCCAATCTGACCATTTATTGTTTCATTGCTTATAATCAAGGTCTACATTGGAAAACCGCTCCTCAGACACGTTACAAAACAACAAAGGAACTATTAGGGCAATACTAAGAAAAAATAAACAGAATAAAATCATAAAATTATGAGAATAAACTTGTAATAATGAGAAGTAGTAATATTACGAGAATAGAGATGTAAATGTACGTGAATAAATTTGAAATAATATTTGAATAATATTAATAATACAGTAAAAAGGTTATAACACGAGAACGAAGTCGCAATAGTTCATGAATAAAGTTGTAATAATACCGTACTATTACGACTTTATTCATGAATTATTACAACTTTATTCTCGCATTAGAGTAAAGTTGTAAGTTGTAATAAAACAAGGATACACGTAACAATAAAAGAACAAAGTTGTAATAATTCGAGATCAAAGATGTAATAATACAAGAAAGTCGTAATGATACGCAAATTAAGTTGCAAAATTCAAGAAGTCGTAATAATGAGAAGTAACACAAGAATAAAGTCATAATAATACGAGAATAAAATCTTAATGACTATTCTCTTCCTACTGACTTTATTCCTGTTTTTTTTCCGTATTCTTTATAATTTTATCCTCATAGTATTTTCACTTTATTCCCTTAATTCTCCATTGTAAACGATTGTAGTTCAGCTGCTGCTTCTCTTTTGTCTGTAAATGAAGAGCTGCTGTCGTTTAACCAGACGTCTGAAAGAAAGGAAAGGCGGGATTTACTGGCGCTGGAACCCAGAGCGTCTCACCCCGGCTAATCGGATTTATCTGCACAGAGAAACGCTTCGAGCCGCAGAGTGTGAACCATGAAGAAGAGCCAGAACTCCCGACGCTGGGAGTTCCCTCCGAAGAGTATTCACCTCGGGATGAAGTCAGCATTTGTACAACATTAGTCACACATCTGCTGGTTTTTATTAATAGTGAGGCGGTGCAGAATACACATTTCACCACACACTGCTAATTTTTAACCCCATTTCTTCTGCATTTAACAACATGTGGTGTTTCTTTAAAAATGTGCAAACACTAAATGCAAAAACCTCCAGAACTGGGAGAAAGTGAGGTAATTTACGGCATGTTGGGCTGCACAGACAGATTGGAGATGTGAGTGGTAGAGCAGAGGACGCCAGTGAAAGTGGAGCCATCTGTGGTATCGTAATTCTGCCCACGCACACAATCCTTTCTCTTTCACTTCATCCCATCCGTTCTGCTGGGAACTCACGTGCAGGACGGACTGGGAAGCCATTTTTCTGCCATCGCAACGCATGGATTCACGTTACATGGAGCAAAAACGTCGATTAATCAGCTCAATTATCAACAAAATCAGAGGATAATTAATACCAGTTTATGTTGACTGGAAGCAGAATATATTAATCTGGGATTAATTTAGTGTTGGTGGGTTTATTTTGTACGATGCAGCATTAGGGATGTATAAGAAAAATAAAACATAAAATGATGACGAACTTGGAAAATAGTCGTAATATTCCGAAAATAAAGAATAAAATTGTATGAGAATAAAGTTGCATTCAGTTATATTTTCATAATAGTCTGGGAATAGATATAATATTACAAGAATAAAATCTTTTGTCATTATTTATTTATGAAGTGCTTTAAATACCAAAGTGCTGTACAGATGCACCAAAACTAAAAGGAAAAAATCATTTAAAATAATAATAATATTGTCCAAAATAAGCCCAATCGGTCGGTGCATCTCAGCTTTCTCAAATCTATTTTATATTACACCAAGAGTTATTTTAGCAACAAAAAGATCAAAAACCTTTATTTATCCATGTTTTGTGCTAAAATAATTTTCATACTTGAACAGAAACGTCTTGATAAATGTTGCTGCCACAACCATCCTCAACATTCGGTTGAAATTTGGCCTTTCTGGCCACCGTGTGCAGCCTGGACATCTGACCTTACACGGGCATAAAGGTCATCTAATCCTCTGTGACTTCCTGTTCCAGGGAGCCGGTGCAGGCCAACTGCGTCCGATGGAGGAAGCGCTTCTCTTTTCCGTGCAAGATGAGCGCCAGCGCAGGAACCGGCGTGCTGGACCCCTGCATGTGTCGCGTCTCGGTCAGAAAGGTTCGTAAAATGGAAGAGCCTCCAAACGTTCTGTTGTTGAACTGAAACCTGAAAGTTTGATGTGAAACCTGAAGTAACATTTACCAAAAGGAGAACTTTAGTGATTTATCTTTGTGTTCCTGTTACTTTTAATAATCGTAATCTGACATGTCAGGGATTAAAAATGGACAGATTATCATCCTGCTTCTAACCTTTCTGCTTTTCTCTTTTTCAGGAGCTCAAGGGTGGAAAAGCTTACGCAAAGGTAATTATTATGTACTTAAAGGGTGAAATACAAATATTGGAAATGCAAATATTGACCTACAGTCAATTTAAAATGCTTAACTTTCTGTAAAATCCTCACGGTGTGAGTCTTGGCTCCTGGTCCAGCTTTGTTTTTTCATTTTGGACTATTTTATTATCACTAAGTTATAAATTTTAGCTGTTTTCAAAGCCATCAACAGGCTTGTGAAAAGCAGAGCTGCAACGATTAATCACAATTAATTTAGCAATCGATTAATCGTTAGCTGGAGTAGGACATTTCCTGAGAAAAACATATTCAGCCAAAACTGTTCATAAAACATCTACATTTTGCATTTAAGGTAAAAACATGTTTGTCTGTAAATCTGTTTTAGCCAAAACTCGTCAAGTTTTAACTTCAGCTGTTTCAGACTGATCAAAGGAATGATTTTTTAATGTACGTTTTCCTACTTTAAAAAAAATAACTACTTATTTTAATTATTTTATGTATTACTAATATTGTATAAAAAGCCCAAGTGGTTAAATGAAGACTCTGTAGAATTTTTAAAATCTGAATAATCATCAGAATAATCAATAAATAAAATAATCGTTAGTTTCAGCCTTAATGCATCCTTGTCTTTCCCATTTTGAAGAACAGCCAGTAGATCTGCTTCCAACATATTTTCTCTCCAGGATAACAGGAAGTGTTTTCTATTTAAAAGTTCTTTTTACAATCTTATCACTTTGGGGAAAAAGGAAAGTATAAATTACAATAATTACATGTTATGTAGATTATCCTTTTGGCTTTTGTAATTTAAAAATACATAAATGAAAAAGTGAGATTTTTTCTCATTTGATAAATGTCGTCAGCCAACAGCTCAGGTTCCTTAAAGGGAGTATTAGTGATGGTCTGCAGCTAACAGATGGCTCGTTGCCTCATTACGCTCAGCAGTTTTGCTTAGTCACTGAAACTGAGCAGCGTGATAATATTCTAGTCACTTTTAAATAGCAACCGGCCCGTCGTGAAGGAAAACTGAGCCGTAAAAGATATTTTATTCCTTTGTTCTCATGTTCCTGCATGTCCTATCTTTGTATCTTAAGGTCACATTACTGATTTTCTGCAGACAGGAAGTGAAAAAAAGGTTCACCTTGTTTTGTTTTTGTCTCCTTCAGCTCGGTTTTGCAGATCTGAATTTAGCAGAGTTTGCCGGCTCAGGAAACACAACTCGGAGGTGTCTGCTGGAAGGCTATGATACCAAAAATACCCGGCAGGATAACTCCATTCTCAAGGTAACATCTGTGTGCTCACAGCAGACAGCTTGGTTTATTTCTGGATGAGAGGAATAATGTTTTATACTTTAAATGCAAGGCAATAAGCAGATTTAATGAAGTAAAACCCATTTACCGTTTCATTCTCCATAGGTTATCATCGGTACGCAGCTCATGTCAGGGGATCCCTGTTTCAAAACGTAAGTTTGAAGAACATGTTTCTACTTGTGGACTTTAATAAAGGTAGCAGCTATTTCTGTGTTCACACAGCAGCAAATGCAACCAAAATCCAACTATTTAAGGCCAAATTCCAAATTTCTCACCCAAAAAAGTCTGATTTGTTTTTCCCTCCTGACATGTTGCTAATTCTGCACCAGAAGACGCCAGACGCTGTAAATCTGAATGTAAACGGCTGAAAATAATAATTATGAAGGAAGTAAAGTGAACCTCACCGCTCTTGGTTCCGACTTTTCTGCAGAAGTGATAATCGATGCTCCACTAGAGCCATTTCTACTGGTTGTGCTCTCGTTTTGTCTTATGATCCGATTAAAAAAAAAAATTAGATGGAAGTTGAGACTGGTTTCACCCAAACTCACGTTGGCCGCAGATCTGTTGTCATAATTCTGATTATTGGGGATAATCACTTCCATTTTTCTGCTTCATGGTGACACAGGTGCCCAACAGAAACGTCTCACTGATTCCTTTATTTATTTTGTAAATCACTCCAGGGTCATTTGATGATCTTCACATTGCAGCCTGATCTGCTCTGGACATGTTCAGAAAAATAACAATATGTATTAAATTTTAATACATTTTTAACGATTGAGGCTTTTAACATAATAGTGACTGAAAATGAGTGAAAATAAACAGAGCCAAACAATAAATGATTCATGAAAATAATTTGTTATATTTCTATCTTCTAAAGGCCAATTTAAAAAAAAAAAATTCAGGATGTCCGCACATCCTTAAAAAGCCTTAAATTGGTGAACCTAAATTAAGGCCTTAAATGTCTTTCTTTTTTTTTTATGTAAATTGGTCTTATTAATCACAGATCTTAGATTTTGCAGTGGCTGGACTATTCAGTCCTGTATTTTTTTTCCTTCCTTGTTGGACTAAGTTTGAGGAAGAAGCAGACATCTTCAGTGCGGTTGCTAACTAGAAGCTAATATGCCCTTGCTAGCTCGCTAGCTTTTTTTGCGACTATCATGGCTAATTGCAAATGTATCACCAAAGTTTGGTTTTGCCACTAGCTCACTTCAATAATCCCCTATATTTATAGTTTTTTGGTCTTAAATTTAAATCAAGTGGGCATTAAAAAGTCTTAAATTGAAATCTGTAAAAACTGTTTATTTAATTTCACATTTTTTATACCAAAAACTGAAGCTGGCATTCAGAAAGAAAAGTTTCTTTACCTATAGGTAAGAAACATTTTTCCCCAATTTAAATTTAATGCTTGAGTTTAAATCAGCAACGCCTTGTCTTTACTTTGGTTTCTTTCCTTGTAATAAAGGCCTCATTGAAATACTGAGGAGGAAATAAAGCCACATTGTGTTTCTGCTGTCCAGGCCTCCATCCACAGCCACGGTGATTGGGATCCAGAGTGATGGAGAGAGCCTGCTGGAGGAAAGGAGGGGCGGAGACTCACAGAAAGGCTTTTCTGGTGAGACGAATCACGCCATCACTCTTCACTTTCTCTCTTTTTTCTGTTTGTTGAAATGTCGGCAGGCATCTTTTAAAGTCCGCTGCAAACAACCGTAAACTCTAACTACCTTCACTGACACCTCTCTCAATAACCAGAGACTGCCTGTGTGTAAGTTTTTAATAATAAATTAATATCTGAAAATGGAAAGGGCACAACTGAAAACCCACCAAGACATCACATCTAAAATTTAAAAACAATTAGAGGAGCAGCCTGGAGGCTTGTTAGAAACTCGATGGCTTTTTTTCTATTACAAATTTGTGCAAAATTTTGTAGATATTCCTCTAATGTAAAAATAAAATAAAATAAATTGCGGTTTGTCCATAAAATAGAAAGCACAATTAAAATCACATTACATAAGAAACATAGCAAAAGTTAATAAGTTTGCTCACGTAAACGTGCAGCGCCATCGTCCTCCTACCACTTCCTGTCGTCTTCTTCGTCGTTTCCGCCAGTAGCACCATCCAGTTGTTGGTCATATGACTCGTGTGACATGAAAAAAAGTGTTCCCTTCGCAGTTTTGATGCTGCCGAAAAACACTTTATGTTGGAAAACTTTTATTTTTTCTAAATTGATCATGTGCACAGAAACATAAACTTACTTTCCATTTTGTATATTTGTTAAAAAACTTCTAAAACTGCATCTTTTTTTTAGCTTTGTATTGTTCTATCCCATAAAATCCTAGTAAAAGACTAAAGTTTGTGAGAAAATGTATCATTTGAATTATGGCTAAACGATTAATCAGATTAATCAAGATTATTTAAATAATCATCAACTAGTTAAGTAATTGATTAATTGGAGTATACAGACACATAAAAGTCAATTTGCTGAAAAACCAACATATACAGATACTAATCAAGTCAAAATCATACAAAATATATCTACTTTATTTAAGATACAATAAAACCTGCTTGAAAATATGTTCTACCCACAACTCCTGATGTGGACGTAGGATTCACTGAAGGAAGGCTATGCTACTGCATTTAAAGCAGGAACATTTTTATTTTATTTAAAAAGGAATGTATTTATTTGCAATTTTAAATGTTTTTGTAATACTGTGCAAAAAGGCTTAAGTGGTTAAATGAAAAATCTACAGAATTTGCCCATTTTGTTCGATTAATCGTCGCAATAATCGATTACTAAAATAATTGTGAGTTGGAACCCTGATGTGAATAGTTTTAAGAGTTTTACTGTCACCTCATGCAACACACACATTCGGTCTGATGTAAAGGAGTCTCATTGAGTCATTCAGACTCGGGTCACTTCCTCACTTCCACGATCTGCTTTTCAGCGTAGCCTACAAAACTGATTCAGTAAATAAGTAAATAACGGAGCCGTCTGATCTGATAATCCATGGATTTCCCTGCAGTCATTAGCTGCAGCGCCGAAGCATTTTATCACAGCAGCTGAGCCAAATGGCTCTGAGTTGCAAACCATCTGGTGAGTTAACTCAGCTTCATCGCGCTCTGTTCCTGTAGATTACATTTTCCTAAAGTGATGATGGACAAATCTAGCTGTTTTCGGGTAAACTAAACATTTCTAGAGTTGTTTCATCTTCATTTTGCTTTTAAGCAAATTTTAAAGCAAGAGAAACCCGACTTTGTTCACTCTTGCAGATATAATCCTCACTTTCTCCCACTATAAAATGTTAAAGCTTTATAAACATTCATAAGGCGTAAAATGGTTTTATTTGGGTGTTTCTGTAGCTTTACTCCTTTTACATCAGAATCTCTTCCCCTTCTGCGTGTCTTCATGGGTGAACACACTGCAGTGTTGAATAGAAGAGCGCTTTCATGTATAATTCAAACAACCTCTTTTAGATTAACTACAATCTGTTCTGACCTGTGGGCTTTCACATGTTTAAAAATAGGACGGTGTTCGTGTCTGTTCAGGGGGAAACTGCGTCGGCTTGTGTAAAATGTGGTTCTTTACATCCTTTGTTTTATTATTGTTTCATTATTACACCCATCTGACCAAAACATGGGGTTCCAGTTAAATCCCAGCATCATATAGAAAACTCTACATGTTACCATGGAAACTTGGTGACCCCAAGACTGTAAGACTGTAAAATGTCAATTTTTGTTACAAACTGTCATATTATGTTGTTTTTTTTATCTAGGTGGAACCAACATCCCATTAAGGTTAATTCAGCATCACAGTCTGATTTAATTTCAGTCATTTTTGGTATTATTCTTAGATTTCACAGTCGCATTTTTCTTGGACGATAAATTGTCCCAGAAATTATTGTGATAAATGATATTACCATAATAATGCAAGTACATCCTCCCAAAGATCAATAAACTTTAATTTCCCAAAGAACATTTAACACTGCAACAGGAAGACGTTTTAATTATCCAAAATAAACAATAAATAAAATGGGTTATGAAGTCACAGCAAAACACAACTGCACTTCAAAACATAAATAATAATGTTTTGCCAGCAAGTAAGTCAGTTTGGCAGTTTTGCTTAACTGGCAAAACTGCCAGTTAGGATTTGTGTAACAAAAAAGTGCAAACTAACCACTTTATACTTTGTCCAGTGTTTCCAGCGTTCTTCAAAATGGAAACTTTTCAGAAATATTAAAGGAAAGCATCACTTTATTATTATGCAAATTACAAACATGCAAGGGAGTTTATCGCGCTCCATTTAATGCAAGTAATTGATTCATTGCTTATTGTGATATGCTTAATTAGACTAATTCCAGTTGATTAAATTTTGTAAAATGTTAATTTTGTCTTCTAAAATATTAAATTACAAAGGAATGCATTTTTCTTTAATCAGTAAAAAATGAATCGTGAACAGAAAACACTTAAATTTGTGTTTCAAAGCAACTTTGTGGTTTTTCCAGCTCCTCTCTCCTTTGCAGTTACTTTTATTTTCTGTCAAACTTGTAGTCATTATAGATGAGATTTTATTTAGATTTTGTCTGGAAATAAAAGGTTATTCAGAAAAACTGAAATTATTTTAATTAGCCTGAAGGACAACTTTTTATCTTCTCTTTACTTACATTCTCAGGGATTTTATCTGGTGCTTCTGGTATTTTATAACACCAACACTAAGATGACATTATGACAATAAAATGGATTCTCTTTGCTTACTCCTGACAAACATGCTTACTGAAGCTGCATTTCCATCAATTGTAGTTACGAAAATAAATTTGCTAATGGAAAGATGGCAATTATGAAAAAAGTAAAATGTTTTGGATGAGGTGGTTTTTCGGCTGCATCAAATTAGTTTATTTCACAAAACTGATGTGGAAGTAGTTTTTTTGCGTCACACAAGTCATGTAACCGACAACCGGATGTTACTACTGCTGGAAACGACAAAGACAGCAACAGGAAGTAGTGGGAAGAAGATGGTGCGGCATGATTTTAATTACATGGTGAGAACAAACATTCATTTTAATTACGTTTCTTATTTAATGGAAACATCACAACAGCAAAATTTTATTTTTTACGACATTAGTGGAATATCGACAAAGTTTTGCAGACATTTCTAATGGAAATGCTGCTGATGATGGCAATATAAACATGGCTCATCCTCCAGCTGAGTGGCCAATAACTAAAAAAATGGGCCTCTGTGTCGCATCATATTAATATTTCAGGGTAAAAGGAGTTTTAGGTAACTAAGGAAAATACATTTTAGCTTCTAAACTCCTGTTATTCTTCGTCATTCACACATCTGCAGCGAACACTCAGAGGGGTTGAAATGAAATTATCCACTTTGTCCTTCCTCATCCAGGTGAAAGCCGAGACGGAAAGTGTCCCGTCATGTCAGACGATCTGGGAGGCTGCGGCCACTCTCGGACCTCCAGCTACGCCAGCCAGCAGTCCAAACTCTCAGGTAGATAATCACACGCTCTAAAAACCATTTAATAGTTTCTTTTTTTAGCTCCTCTTGTCCAGTAACTCAGGTAAAACTAAAAGTAACCTTTGGTTCGACGAGGAGATAGACGCAGTGAAATCAATTTCCGGGGATGAGCCGCGACTGCTGTTCAAACCTGGAGGCTCCGGTTTCCAGCGCCGGCAGATCAAATGACACTAATAAACGATTAGAGGAAGTGGATAAGCGCAGAGATCCACTGCAGTGCCTCGCTCATGAAGGGTGGAAACGTGTTTTTTTTTCCTGCCTCATGCAACGCGTTATAAGATTTATTCAAACCTCAGATTAGTTTGCAGGAAGTTGTCTGTCTCATGTCTGATGCCCTCAGATGTTTTTTGCTTTTGAAGAGCTTCCTGCAGACATGAAGCTTTGGTTGCAAAAGTGCAAAATAACTGATCATTGATATAGTTCATTGAAATAGTTCATTTTAACCAGATACGCTGGAACTCAGCAGAGGTTGCTAGGTAACCAGCTGGGCTTCGCTGGGGTTGCTAGGTAACGGGTTGTGCATGCTGATTTGTGACGTTACATAATACATAATAGAGATAATCAATCTACACAGCTCAGCTCTTTAAGAAATCTGCCCATTTGTTCTCTCTTGGTGAAAACCTCCTTATCCAATTCCTTAAGACTCCATATGCACCCTGCTTTTAACATAAGACCATGATGGAAACATTTATGGTGCACTTGTAAAGTGAGTCCAAGTTGTGCAACAACAGGGTTATCAAACCTACACATTTTCCTTCCTTTTCCATTAATTCGATTTCCTCTATACAAACACAGAACAGTGGACAAGACGCCTCTCTTAGGAGAAATTGTTAATGACTTCTGTTCTTTTTCCAGACACCAATAAACATTCAAATTCATGAATACTATATTTATCCCAAAGGGAAATTAAATGTAGCTCAGATACTAGATGTATTCATTTATTGCCAAAATAAATGTTTTGGCACTGTATGGTTGTTTTTTTTGTTTTTTGTTTTTTTGCTTTGGCTATTTTTTAGAAGCAGTAGAGACCCAAATGGAAGTATAAAAACATGCAAAATGTGAATTTTGCATAACAGTTTTAATAGTGGCCGCCATTTTTTTGTTGTTGTTGTTTATTGAATTTGCTTAGTATTTATAAACAAAGGGATGAAAATCCCAACGTTTCCACGGTAACCCTTTAGGCTGTGCGTTCGTCCTCAGGCTACAGCACAGGTCACTCCCGCTCGTCCAGCATGTCCGACTTCGGCCACCGGAGAAACCACTCCGTGGGCAGCGCGTCGACGGGAATCGGAAGCATCCCGGAGCCGAGCGAAGAGCGAGAGTCCAAACCCTGTCCGGCTCTGCCGGAGCATCCGGTTCCCACGGCAACCACGGGAAACCCACCGGGCACACCGGTGCGCAGTTCCTCGTCCTGCGAGCGACTGAACAGGTCAGTTTCTACTATCAGATTTTTCATTTAACCACTTAAGAGTTTTTATACAAAATAAAAAAATACATTAAAATATGCAAATAGTTACATTTCTTGCTTAAATAAGAAAATAAACATTGTATTGCCTAATATGCAGTAATATTGCATTCCTTTTAGTACATTTGAAGCTAAAACCACTTGACAGGTTTTGGCTAAAACACATTTACAGAAAAAGGTGTTTTTATCTTAAATGTTTTAATATTTTTGTACGGTTTTGGAATAATTACTGCTTTGTTTTTTTCTTCAGAAAATTACTTTAATTAATTGATTTCTAAATTAGTTGATTTCAATTATCGATTAATCACAATTAATCATTTCAGCCCTAGTTCAACTACAACATGCACTTAAACTTTAACTGCCAGACTTTTACCACAACCACTCACTTTTATTTATCTGTGTTGTAATTTGTCTCTGCCTTAAGACAAATGGAAACAGCACCATTGATTACACTCTTATTTCATAAATATATATCTTATAAATATACACACAGCTTGAATCACTGGTTGCTGTGAATCCTCAGTGACAATACAACATGAAACCGTGACAGGAAGTGCTGCGTCACACATGCCACAGTCTGGTTTCAGTCGGCTTGTAAAGCCACGTGTCACTTCAAACTTTGGTTCCAGGCAAAAATCTAAGAAACTTCACAGAGATACTTGTGAAGTTACCACATCTGATCTCAGTGTGTTCTTTTGTTTTTATACTTCAAATTAATTTTAAAACCATCTTGCAGAAATATGACCAAAGAAGCTGATTGTTTGTGCCATCTTCCTCAAATGTTTGTTTCAAGTCAGCCTGACTTCTGTTTATTGTGAGGTGGTTAACACCACAGCCTGCTGTCAGCACTGCATGTCCCAGTTTATCAGCTGGAAACCAGTTACTGCACATTGTAGTGCTTGTAGGGCAAGGTTTCACCAGTTGACTACACACTTTTAATTCAACATTCACAGCCTGTGGAGGTTAAATTTATTTATTTTTTTTTACAGTGCGGTTTCAGCACATTGCAACAACTGAGCGCTCTGCTGTTTGTGCATTCAGGCGTTTCAGAAATGCTTAGATACAGGCTGCAGACACCTGAAGCATGGAGATTAATTTCAGGTTCAAAATAAGGGCTGAAAAATATTCATATTTATCAGACAGATTGACTATAGAGTTTTATTATTTCTGTTTATCTAACAAATATGTCTAAAGAAACCAGAGTAGATTAATTTGTACTTTTAATAAAATACAATATTCTTTCAAAGTATAATGAAGTACTGATTCAGTAGTGTCATAAACATATATATTTTTGTTTAAACACATTGCCTGTTGGTGTCTAAACATCCATTTACATGGATTATTAATTAGCTACTTATAATGTAGCAAACTGAATTTTGAGAGAAGAGAAACTTTTTCTTACAACTATTCCTTTTCATTCAGATCTCATGTCAACATGACATTTATTAAACTAAACGAATAAAATAAATAAAACGATGTCTGAAATCATGGAACAGAGATGCTCCAACCTACTTTTTAAATAAAGTGTGTCCAACACATGGAAAGATTTAATGTACCAATTTGCCCATCTGTCTGTACAACCAGATCTTTTTCTGGTAACATTTTTAAAGCCTGAGTTCAGTTATTGATCAATTAATGTTTGCTTATCATTAACTGATAAGCAAACATTTTCTTAAAAACCTGAGTTTTCTCTTGAGGGCTACATTTGTCATAATATGAGAAAACATGACATTTTAACATTATTTTGTGTCAGCTGCGTTAAATAGTGACTGAATAAAAAGAAAATGGTGGGAATCACCTCATTAAGTCTAGACATAAAATATAACGAAACAGGAAGGTTGTCGAGTAGAAAAATTAAAGATGAAACACTTAATTCCCAACTTACAGATATTCAAACAGAAATATCTGTAGTTGCTCTTGGAGGAATATTTAAACTTCGCTCCATAAAGTGAATTATGCCTTAAAAATAAACTGTGGCGTCATGTTTTTTCCACCAGGTTACATTTTTCTGCGTTTCGCCCTCCGCCTTTCTGCCGCGTCATCTTCACTCACAGTAGCCGATCGGTAATTTCCTGAATGAGAAGTTTTTCACGTCGCCATTAAGGTGAAACTTCAGGAGTTGGTCGAGTGTTTATATTTCAAAGCAGAACCGCATAAAGTTTATTTATCATCCCACACCGGACTCTGTTTGGGCCGTTCATATCGGCTCCGCCGCCATCTTTAATTCTAAATCGATGGCTTAAGGATGACCAGCGGCGCCCTCTGCTGGACGGCGGCTCAACTACAACACTAAAAGAAGCTCTATGGACGCGTTTAGTTAATCGATTAGAACTAATTTGAATCTAATAAACTATTATCAATAGTAAATCGTTGCTTGTTTTTATCATTACTTGATAGAATGAAATAATGGCCAGTTTGTGTCAAAATAAACGTATTTACTTCTGTCGTCTTTCTGTTTAGACATCCAATAAAACAGGACTCCATGGAGTCTCAGCTGAAGAGAATGGATGACACTCGGGTGGACGCTGATGATGTTGTGGAAAAGATTTTACAAAGTCAAGATTTCACACCGAGCTTACTGGACTCCAGTGCTGAAGGTGAGAAAACTGGCCTAATCTAATCAACACAAATCTTTCAGCCACATGTTGCTATAAGAATGAATAACGATAATTTCAAGAGATGCAGGGCTAGTTTGCATAACAGTGAATTAGCCGGTAGTCTTCTGTTACGCTGTGAGTCAGTTTGTGTGAGCTTTTAGGACAGCATTGTGTTTCTTTCCAAGGTCTCATTCAGCTCAAAGCTAAGAAAAGAGAGCCGCTGTCAATACATGATTATTTTTAGATTGCCTAGCAACTGGCTGCTCCTCATGACTAGAATTATACAGGAGGCAGTGTGCGCCTCCTGCAATGACTGTTGCCACAACTGTGTCTGCTTCAGAGGAAGGCTTGCGTCTGTTTGTTGGGCCGGGAGGAAGCACAGCCCTGGGAAGCCATCATCTGCCCACCAGGTGAGCTCTGGAGACTCAGATTTGCATTACTGTATATGAATTGCTAATAATCTAGAGTAGACTTGTATCCTTGGGCGGGTAATTATAATTTACTAAACCTCATGTTAGTACCATTGACACTAAACATGATAACTCAGGTTTTATTCACAGTTTAGTCTGCTTTAATTGATCTCTAGTTTGTTTGCTTTGAAAATCCGGTTGGTTTGGGGAATGCATAAATGAACCAAGAAAAGTGAACTCTGATTCTGGTTCTGGTCTCGATTTGGTTGAAGAGAACTCTGGTGCGGTTCGAAGTCCGACGTGAGGATGTTTTCACACCCGATAGTCTGGTAGACTCAGTTTGATTCGAGACCAAAATTGTAACATTTGTTGCATTTTCAGCTGCACTCAGTCAAAGCAACCAAATTAATTGAAAAACCTGTTCCCCTTCTCACCTCTGGGGGCGCTGCACCAAGAACTACTGAAGGAGACAACATGAGGACCTTTGAAGAAGACACTGAGCACAACTTTAAACAAAACTAAAGTAATGTCAGAAGGGTTTTTATTTGCCGTTGGTAAAAGACTACAAGCCATTTCTTGCTAGCTAGAGACTATCATGTTTGCTTTGGTTGTTTTTACCCAGAATGCCCTGCTCTGTAGTCCGCTTCTTGCTTTTTTGGTCCGTTTACACATTCACACCTCCCAAACAAACTGGACTTTCTAGACAAAAGAAATAGAGTTTGATTAAACCGGATTAAATAGGGCTGGTATGAATGAACCGGAGACCGGTCCAAAAGGAGGACGTAGACCATTATGCTGGGCATTATGGGTAAATTCAGCAAACAAAATCACTCAAGTCTATCGCTCGCGGGAAGAATGACTTGTAGTCTTTTACAAACGACAAAAGAGAAATCCTATAACCGCTAAAATCTGACGCCGCTCCATTTTTGTTTACGTTTCATGAAGAATGAAGTTGTGCTCAGTGTCCCCTTCAGAGGTTTGGTCGTTTCCTTCAGTGGATCTTGGCCTTTGAAGAGTTTTAAATACATTTTATTAGTCGGTTTTCTAATATTTTTTGGTCACGCGATATATTCTGAGCATAACAAGGCTACTTTTAGACATTGCTAGCAAAAAATAAATAAATTGTGATGGTTTAATTTAATCTTTCTTCCGTTGTCAGGGTTGGCGCCGGAGCGTACGAACAGGTGGTGATCAAGCGTTAGATGATGGGATGACCCTGATCACACTTTAAACAAATGGTTTGGGTTTGTTTCTCAGTTCCCACAGCAAACACAACACCCCTTGTTATCAGCACTGTGTCATGCCTAATCACTGATTTCTGTCATAACCATAGCGCCCCCTTGTGTTCATTTAAGCCACTGTAATTCCCCAGATACATTCAGGAGAAAGAAGTGGTAAGATATCATCTCAGATAAATGGAGAACTTAAATAGTTGCTTATCAAATCACTCCAGGAAACTGATATATCATATTTCAGTTGAATGTTTTCACTCAGTTTGGGTGTTAGCAGATCTACATGTTTATGCATTTTTTTATTACGTCAATGAGGAGATTAATTTCTCTTTGAGCACCTTTAAAGTGAAACGTGTTTTCGATACATTCCTTTAGTCTGCTTGCTTTGGATGATAGGACTTTATCTGGAAGATTTGCCTGCAAGCAGCTGAAGAGCTGCACTGACAACTGTGTTTTCAAGGTGAAAATATTTTACTACAGAAACATAAGAAGTAAGCTATTTTATGTGTGAATGCAGACAATGAGCGGGTGACGATGTGTGAGACTCCTGTGTTGAATGAATGAAGGGATTTTATGTAATTCAGTGTTGAGACTGTCAAAGACAAAAGAGCAAAACTTGATTTGTTTACCAAAACTGCATTTTTTAACTAGATTTTTAGCCATTATTTTTTCCTCCTAATCCATCCAGAAATTGAACAACCAAATTTATTTTAAATTTAGCAACTTATTAATAAAAATGTTCCCACTTTGCATAATTAAATGAAACTGTAGGTAAAAATATGAGGATTAATAGCTTGAATTAATGTGCATTTTTGCTTAAAAGCTGTGCTTCATCGATCCACAATGACCTGCAGGTCAGGGAAATCACAAAAAAAGGAAAAACGAATGAAAGTGAAAAAATGAAATGGCAAAAATCTAGTAAAGTGATCCACTGCCAAGAAGAAAACGCTCAACGGTCAGATGCATTTATGAGCAAACAGCAGCAATTTACATTTAAGTAATCTCATTTAAGATTCACTAATGTGGAAGAGAATCAAGGCCAGTGAAAAAAATAAAATAAAATTCTGACTTTAAACTCAGAATTTTGACTTTTTAGACTTTTTAGAGAAAAAGTCAAAATTCTAAGATTCAAATCAAAATTCTGAGATCTAAGTCAGAATTCTTAGAAAAAGAGTCAATTCTGAAATTGAAGTCTGAATTTTGAGGTTAAATTCAGAACTTTTAGGGGGAAGAGTCTAAATTTTGGGGGAAAAGTCTAATTTGGTTTGTTTTTTTTCTAGTGGCCCCATTTGTCTTCCGTACTTCTCACACATGTTGATATTTAAATAAATCGTTCTCACAATCATTGTGAAAAAAGCCGACATGACCGTTTTCCAGCAGCCAGGAACTGAGACCCTCAGCAAGCAGGGTTAGCCATAAAAATGTAATTATTAAATCAACCTGGCTGTATCCAAGAATACGCAGGGAAAGTTGAGTGGAAGGAAAACCTATGGTAGAAAACTGCACTAATGAATGAATCTGTGTTGAATTCCTCTTATTGTATGAAGACTGTTCATATCCTGTTAGGGTTCAAAGTTCATGACGGCGTATCAACAGCTCAGCCGTCTAGAAAACGGGCTCTGCAGAAACTTTAAGCTTTGTTTTTCATCAGAAGTGACTGCAAATCGTAGAATAAATGTTAAACTCATTACAGCCATCTCTGCACAAACCTTTGGTGTTTTAAATAGGCCATTTTGTGACATGCATGGTTATAATCTTCTCAGCTTTGTGGAAGTTTCCGTCAAAGCCAGGCGCATTTTATCCTCCTCATTTCTTATTGTGCCATCCATTTTCACTTCGAAGGAATAATTGTTCACTTGTTCATCATCCAAAATGTAATTTTGTTCTCATAAAATGTTGTATGAAGTAATTCATCATTTTTAGTTGTTTTTGATTTGAAGATTTCTGAAAAAAAGAGATACTATTGTTTTTGTTTTCTATGTTGCCAATGTGACATTTTTAATAAATGTTGTCTGAAAATAAAGTGTCTTTTTAATGAGCAATTGTTTGAGTAAATGTTTGAACTCTGGCTGCCAGATGTCTTATCGTCTGAAGGTGATTTTTTTGTCTTTTTGTTCGGAACAAAACGCGTTTACCTGTGTGACGCAGGTGTGTTCATCTCGGTACCTAACATGTTCCAAACATGGTGCTTTTCTCTTCTGTGAAGCTGTTGTCTAATTAAAACTGTAAACTAATCTATTGTAAAGTGCCGTTCTGACGCGTTGAGTGTTCTCTGTTACGGATCTGTTTTTCTGGACAAACTGCTTCCCTAATGACTGAACGGCAAAATGTCTCCCCAGCACTGTTGAATAAAACAGTTCAAAATGCCTCCATGCTGCCTCAGTTTTTCCATGAATAATTACGATTCGTTGTTCGGGTTTATTTTCACTTTACGAGCCTTCAGACTAAAAAAAACTAAAAAACTTTTCTCTTTTTTTTTGTTTTTTCAAACATTCACCTTAGGGTAGATTAATTTACATTCTCAACTGTTCCTGACAACAAAACTGATTTCTCCAAGTCAAATATTCGCTTCCCAGTCTTCCTCTGGTTCAATTTGATGGGAGCACTGGACAGCTGACGCATCTTCTTCATCCTCCTCTTCATCACTGTCAGTCTGCTCTGGTTCTGAAAAACAACAAAATCCAATCAGGAGGATCTGAGTACAAGCAGAAGAAAATAAATGAAAAGCATTTGCATGTTTTGGAGCTGGAACATCGAAACTTTAGGCAGTTCTGACATCTGCTGGACAAACTGCAGATTGCAAACATTTTTATAAATTCAAAGCATCAGAAAAATAAAATTAAATGTCAGAAACAAAGTTAAACTTTACAGGTTTAACATTCATTCATTTTAATTAATTAATTATATATCTTAAGGTGTAAAAAAAAAATTAACGCAATCGCATTCCTCCATCATCATCTGGAAGCAAAATATAGTACTGGAACGATTAATCGTGATTGATCGATTATTGGAATAATTGCCAGCTAATTAAGTAATCGATTAGTCATCAACTGCATTATGCACTCAAAAATATAACAGAATGACATAGCAATAATTCAAACCAATAATTAAGCCAAAACTGTACAAAAAATACACACAATGTGAACTTAAAATAAAAATAAAAAAAATCACATTTGTTTGTAAATATGTTAATTCAAAACTCCTCAAGTGGCAGTTTTAGCTTCACCGGATTCAAATTATGTTTTTTAAAAAAAGCTCCAGTTAAGCATAATTTAATATCCAATTATTAATCGGTTAAAGCAAAAATTAATCAATCCACAAACGATTAATCGTACACAAAAGGGATACCACGTTGCATTTTAGGCAATAAAATGTCTATTTTCTTACTTTGAGAGGAACTGAATTATTTGTTTGTGTCTTCAATCATTTTGAATATTATTTAAACAAAGGCTTAAGTGGTTAAATGAGAAATCTGCAGATTGTGCCATTTTTATATACGTTTAATCGATTGAATAATCAATTACTAACAATTGTTAGCTACATGCCTACTAAAATGTTTTTAAAGTAAACATGAGAGAAACTACAAAGGGTCTTAAAATAAGACTTAAAAACAAAAAACCTCAGAAGCAAACATGCCAGGAATGTGGTTTGCATTAATAAAGTTATTTGGACCAGAGATGTCTCGGTACGAATTACACAGCTCAGATTCTGTCGTAACGAGGCGGTACCTTGTTCTTCACATTTTACAAGCAGAGCGGATCCATCCTGGGACAGTTTCACTTGAGGCTGATCCACCAGGAGTCGTCTCAGATTTGAAAGATTTCCACTCAGTTCAGCGATTTTCGGACAGAAGGACCAGAGCGCCGCCAGAGGAACAACGGCAAACCTGAAACAAACACAATACTGGATACACGCATTCACACATCCCTATGCATCTAATTGTTATTTTACATATTTGCATATGTTTATTCATATGCCTTGTTTTTGATTTTAGAGAAATCCATGCAACGTTTTGTTCCCAAACTGAACAGAACTGTCAGAATTTAAACATTTCTTCTCTTCCAAACAGAAACAAACCTGTTTAAGGTCCCGGACTCTTCTTGGTCTTTTGTCCAAAGCGACTCGGTACTCTCCTCCCCTTCACCTGGACAATTCAACCTTTCTGTACAGGCTGAATGGAAAAAGATGTTTTATACAAGTTAAAGCAGAGAAATGCAGTTTTAATTCAGCGTCTTCGTCGACCTGATTGTTCCTGTTGTTCAGTCTGACTGTGAGGTAAAACACCATTCGTCCCTCCAGTCGTTTCCTCCATCCACCTGTTCTTCATTTGTTCTGCCCAGTACAGAACCTCGCTCACCAGGACTCTGAGCAAAGTGTTGTTGTCACGCAAAGTGGGGTAATTTACAGAGTACACCTAAAACAGAAAACTCTGGGTTAAAGTATCAAAGCCGAGAAGCACAAACACAAACTTTGTATCGCCCTAGTATTTGCCTTTTTAGGGGGATTAAGTACATTTTTGGTCTTTGAAGACTTAATTTTTGGAAAATCTGGATGTCCTTGGGTTTCTGTATTTTAGAGTATGGCTGAAACAATTAATTGGATTAATTGTGATTAATCAATTAATTAAACAATTGTCAACTAATTTAATAATCGTTAACTGACTCTTCAGGCTCAACAAAAGACAATTTGTTGAGAAAAAACCCAACATATTTAGACCAGTAATTAAGCCAAAACTGTACAAAAAATGAATAAATTTAATGTTTAACATAAAGAAAACCTTTTTCTTTGAATATATTTTAACCAAAACTCCTCAAGTGGCAGCTTCAGTTCACCCGGTTCAAATAGACTAAAGGACAGCTGTATCATTGCATGTTTCTCCAGATTAATCAATTACAACATTCGTCAACGATTATTTCAATATTCGATTAATCACGATTAATCGTTTCAGCCCTAAGTGATGCATGTGAGAACCAGTTGTTTATGGAGGAATAGACTCACCAAAGTGTAGGAAAACACTTCCTCCTCATCTCTGTCGGGTAAAACGTTGAAACATTGAAACACAGCAATCTGGGAGCAGAAGCCGACACTTTCCTGCTGCTCCTGAGGCGCTTCTCCAACTCCGGTGAATTCAGCCTCGTAGCCATAATCCAAACACACCTGAAGAGCCCTGCAGGATGCAAAATGGACATTGGAAGGGAGAATCCAAGAGCCAAATTGGTTGTTTGAAAGCCTGAAATGAGTCCATGTTCTCAACTTTTTGACCAGAAAGTTGCTGTCTTTTTTTGTCATTTTAAAATGCACAACATAGTCAGTTATTTTAATTCATATTCACAATACAAACAGTTCCTCTACTTAAATTTACAAAACAAATTTGCATTTGTTAAATTACTTTCTTTTGAAATAACTGGCTTTAAAGAAAACCCATCATGTTTCTCGATTAATTGGTTTTCTAATGATTAATCAGATAAAGAAAAATGGTTCTACAAATTTTTCATTTAACCACTTGAGCTTTTTTTTATACAATATCAGAAATATATTAAAATATAAACAAATAATTCAGTTTCCCTTTATAAATAAAAAAGAAACATTTTATTGCCTAAAATGCAAAATTATAGCATTCCTCTAGTGAGTTTGAACCAAGTGAAGCTAAAACATATTCACAAACATTCACAGGTGTTTTCATACTATAATTTACATATTTTTTGTTAATTGTGGCCTAATTACTGCTCTAAATATTTTGGGGGTTTTTCAGCAAATGGCCTTTTTTGAGTGTGTATACTCCAGTTAACGATTATTCGATTACTGAATAAATCGATTAATCACGATTAATCTACTTGAGACATCACTCATGAAACTGAGTTTGACTTTAAACTGAACTTTGCAAGATGTTTCACTGTATAGTTGTTTTTTTGTGAATAACTGAATCTCTGTACTGCACCAGGATCTGAACTCTGATCGGTTCCACTCAAACTTGTGATCGCTGTGTCTGAAACCAGTCAGTCCAGGTAAAAGTTTGTTGAATTCAGAGTTCGGGGTGCTGACAATGACGCTCGCTGGTCTCATGTATCCAAAAACCACAGAAGAAAAGAGCTCCAAATCAGGAAGAGTGAGATGTTCTATGCTGCAAAAAACACAGACGTAACAAAATAACATGTTTGAAAGCAAAAATAATTATTTAAGAAATAACTTTGTAGCTCTAACAGCCACTTACAGTTCTATGTTGGTCACCAAGTCGAACCCTCGGAGCCGAGCGTCCCGTTGTGTGACTGAACCTTGGTACAGATCTATGTGGAGCTGGTCATAGGTAGGCTGCAGGTAATCTGTAGACAGAGGAGCCAATCCTTGCCTGAAGGGACAAACAAGCAACAAATTAATAAATTGAATTGTATAAAGCAAAGATAAATGTTCTGTTCACCTTCAAAGTAATGGTTTACATAGAGAACTTCCAAATGTTTATTTAAAAAAAATCACTTCACAGCGCAGAAACTGAAGAAGCTGAAGATGGAAATTATGTAAATTCAGAGCTTATTCACTAAACTCGGTGCTACGTCTTAATACAGACCTTGGAAGATGTTACTGAAATCAAATGCACAGCTTTAAACTAATTTAAGGTAAAATAAGGTAATTTTATTTATGTAGCATATTTCAGCAACGAGGCAATTCAAAGTGCTTCAAGTCCAACTTAGTCAGTCATTTCCGTTATGCGAGAGGTAACAGTTATTTATGGTGTCCCACAAGGTTCTGTACTAGGACCAGTTCTTATTCTTTTTTGTTTGTTTTGAAAAATAAATTACACTTATCCAAACAACTGCCACTACATGAATGAGAAATGAATGTGGCAAATCAGTGACTGCATGCAAACAGCCACGTTTTCTCAGATAAGTTAATTTGTAAAATATACCTAACGTGACTACATACAGGATCAACTGAAATAGAGGCATCCGCCTGTATTTCATTTTATTTAACCAGGTAAATTGAATGAAAACAAATTCTAATTTTCAACGGGTTGAATTTATTTTATTATAAAGTGCCTTGAGACAAAATCTCGAGAAACTTTGGCAGGATCTTGCTAAAGTAAGTCAGGATACTTTCTTTTTTTTTTTAACTGGTTTCTCTAAATCGCCCTTAGCCGTGACTGTTCATGCTTTGTTGTTAATAATTAGTAAATAAAAATAAATATGTACTTTTTCATTACTCCTGTGGAAAAGTTGTAAGCTAGCGATAAAAAAAATAAATAAATCCTTCCCTTCCCTTTTCGTCACTCACATCTTTTTCTTGATTTTGGCACCATCGATGTCCACCCCGACCAGCAGCTCAATGTTCCGCTGAAACTTGAGCCGTTTCAGGAGCCGACACTCACCGCAGCCCAGGTCAGCTACCTGGTGGAAGAAGACAAACAGGCAACATGACAAGGTGACAGAAAACGCTCTCAACAGGTAGAACTGGATAAATTAGACATCGGCGTTCACTGGCTTCGCTACAACGAGGAGTTGGTAGCAAACGTTGGTTAGCTTCGAAGCTAAGACGAAGGAATAGCTGAATTCCTGCTTAATTCGTGTTTGAATTTTAGTAACTACCTTATTAGGTTTGTTTTTTCTGACAAAATCGACGACAAACTGATGTCGTTGGCTGTGAAGTGACGGAGTAAAAATGGGATTCATTTTTCTTCCACTACAGTTTTCTGTGACCGTCTGTTAACCTCCTCGGCAGTAGGGGGCGGTGTTTAAATGTCTGTTTGCCGAGTAATGATATATTTGAATATTAGTCAAAAATGTATTTCATTAACCAAATTCACTCAAACACATTATATAAATTAATTACTGATGTTTTCTAGCGTTAATTTTGATTACACTTTATGAAAACAGGATTGGAATATTAGATCAGACCAATTACTAAAAAATAACACATACTTAATGAAAAGTATGTTTAATAGATGCTTAAAAGTTATTGTCAGAAGACATTTTTAATCTGGTAAACAAGCAGCGTTGCATAATTTACTCAATATTAGGATAGAACATATTTGTCATCAGAGGACTTGTATAGTGAATTTTTTATCAGTCTTAAGCTCATTAAACAATTTTTAATCTTCACCGACTTTGAAATTACTTGGGTTCAGCTGATTTTTGTTGTTGTGAATGAATCACCTATGACATATTTATCAACCCAATTAAACACAACAGATGAGTAATAGAAGATTTTCTCAGAAATTTCAGGCTATTTTTATATTCCTTTATTCCCCAAAAAAATAAACTCACCCAAGTTGCAAAACTGTAGGTTGTCCCAAAGTTGCATTCTCAAATGATAGTTAAATTTAGATGTTTTTGATTGTTAATTTGAGACACACGAGTAAATTTAAAACATGTTTTAATGTTATTGGTAGGTTGGCTTTATCCTGAAAACTTTATTTTTTTTCTATTTTAAACAGATAATGTAATATTTGGACTTGATTTTGGATGGACAACTTAATTGTAAGTAGACACTTTTGTTTCTTTTACAATTTTACTCCCATTTTTAGTATTTAAAATGTTCGGTGTATTTTAATGTGGTCTGTTGTGATTTACTGTTTTTTTTTTAGTATTAAATAGTAGGCCTATGCATTCTGTACAGATTTGATTTGCACATAATGTTGTTTTAATGGGTGGACATTATGTAAAAGTTACTTTTTGAGCTTTACACCATGTTATAATCCCTCATCAAAAACATACCTGTAGTGTTGCCTTGATTCTTTCATGCATGTTTCAATGAATCTCCGATGGCAGACATTCATAGTTACCGTACTTGATTGTGCAATAAGATGGGACTGTGTTTCTAAAGAATACATAATATTACCCCTTTAATACAAATAAAATTTTAAATAAAAATATTGTAAATAGTGTGTTGTGTGTTCCAGCTTTAGGAAACTGCAACTACATTATTGAGCCAAATATAGTCTTTGGTTATATTTAAATACAATGCTGTGTAAATGTTTAGTAAAGTAAGAAAAAATGCTGTAGGCTGTGTTTATTGAGTAAAAAATATTTATTATCAAATGTTAAAGGGGATGTATTATGTAAAACTCACTTTTTTCTACTTCCATTTGGGTTTCGGAGAAGCCCGTGCCGTTACCTAGCAACCCAAGCCGAGCCCGACCCAGCCCGACACCTAGCAACCCAAGCTAAGCTCCAGCACTGTTTGGTCAGGTGGCTTTACTGGTTTGCGCTGTAAAATGACTGTCGGGGAAAAAAATAGAAGCGTTTTCTTGTCAACTTACTGTCCAGAATCCACTTGCTGCATTGTTGTTGGTTCTTCTGGATGCTCTAATTCTGCTTTTTCAAAATGTTTGCGGTGTTCTGTCAGATCAGCATACGTTGTCAGATAGTCATACGCTTAGCTCAGACATGTATACGCTGTCATTACCATATGATTTTATTTAATCAGCAACATAGAATCATGACGTAGATCATCATACACTTTGTTATTGGCATACACTTTGATGGCATCCTGACTTAGCGGTTAAGTAGGTTAATGAGTTTTACACAGGCGTGTGTTGTAGTTGACTGCAGCTGCAGCCAGACCTGCTTTAAATACACTTTGAAACCATGATAACGCATGTATATCTATCTAGTTATCATATTATGTGATATATAGACAATTTAATGACTTATTTTCGTCATAACTTGTTGCGTATGCTGAACTGACGACTGTGCTGACGGTCTGACTTCTTTATGCGCATGCGCGGGCATGCGTACTGACTGCATGTATGATATTCTGACAGCGTATGGCTATCTGACAGAACAGCGGCTTTTCCACCGAGTGTAACCGTCAAGATGGTGGGCGTGGCCAGCGGCAGCTTATTTGGATTTAAAGTGACAGAAACCGTCACTGTCAGCTCATTCTGAAAGGACCTCAAAATCCCATTGTCTAGGAAGGATTTTGTGAAGAAAATCTAATCAATTTGTTTTGTTTGCCAGGGTAATTTGCCGAGATTTCTTTTCTTTTTTTTTTTGACTGAGCTAATTGGAGGTGCCTTCTTTGTGTTTTTCTGTCTTCATATAATCTCCTCTGTTTAGTTCAGCGGTGGGCAATCCTGGTCCTGGAGGGCCGGTGTCCTGCGATTCCCAGATGTCTCCCTGGTCCAACCCACTTGAATCCAACAGCTGAACCACCTCTTAAATGCAGTCAAGTTCTCTGCTAATGACCTCATTATTTGACTCAGGTGTGTTGAAGTGGAGACACATCTAAAAGTTGCAGGAGACTGACCCTCAAGGCCTGGAGTTGCCCACCCCTGGTTTAGTTGAACTCGAGTCTGTTTGGACCAAATCGTCGCTTCTATTACTTTGTATTCTTTGTCAGCCTTGTAAAGGTTTTTCTTGGAACACCATAGACATTTCACCAACAAAATTACACAAATTTGTTTCAATATGTCATAGATTTCTTTTTATTTCATCATCATCTGAGCAGTTAACTCACCAAGAAAATATACATTTAAAGGATATTTCTTGATAAATTATCAAGTTTATTGAGTTTTTAAGAGTTAACAATCATCCAAAAAAAAGTATTAACCTATCTTAAAAATAAACAATTCTTTTGATAAATATGGCTTCAGCAACACTTTTAGACATCTATGAATGGCTACATGTTTAGATTATTAAAGCAATCAGTTATCATCCTAGAACAAACCAGAAAAGAAAATCTGTGATGGATGCTACGTAGTGGAAAAACTATTTTTACCCCACATAAACCTGTTTCATCCAGTCTCTACAGTAAGTGGTTTCTCTACGAAGCGCCGGTTTTCCTGCAGGTCGGCCAGGAGAAGTTGCTCCGGTTGAGGCCGTCCTTCGCTGCCACTCTGACGCAGTAGCTGGTCATGGGTTTGAGGCCAGTCTCTGTGTAAAAATCCCCGTCTACGTTTCTCACTCTCTGCTCCGCGTTTTGCTCCTCCTCGATGACGAGCTCGTACTTGGTCGCTCCGTCCACCATCTTCCACTTCACATCCAAGGACCCGGCGCTGGCCGTCACAGCCAACACCTCTGGGGTTTCCAGATCTGACGGAGCGTAAAGAAGCTTCAAAATAACATCCACAATATAAAAACTAATCATTACAGTCCACTTACAGGGATCAGTCATCGATTAATGGTAATCATCAATTAGCAGAGTTGGGTAATAACTAGTTACATTTACTTGAGTAACGTTTTGAGGAGTATTTTTACTACGCTGTACTTTTTACTTTTACTTGAGTCATTTTATTATGAAGTATTTCTCTTCTTATTTCAGTAAAATTTAAGTTTTTCTACCCACTGAATGAAAAACATGTTTTAACCAAAACTTCACCAGAAACACACTGCAGCCTTTGTTAAAGTTTTATAAGTTTTTTATTGACAGAAACTGATTTGGAAACATTTTCGTTTGCCTGATGTTATATTTTGTTGCTTATTTGAATTATTGTCATTTTGGCCCTTAAAATACCAACATTTCCACTTTATGTTTTGGTTATGTTTTTAACCAAAATAACTGATAAAAATATTTTGATCAGTTATCACAATTTGATAAGTGATCAAATAATGATTGATTATTTGATCAGTTATTCAGGACTTGACTAGACTTTTTACCAAATGATTTTTTACTCTTATGAGTATTTTCTTAGATGGACACTTTTTACTTTTACTTCAGTAAAAGTATATTGAAGTAGTGCTACTCTTACTTGAGTACAGTTTTTTGGAATCTCTGTTTATTAGATTAAAATTAGTTCCAATCGATTAACTAATAATGTCCGCTTAAATTAGGAATATTCAATGTGTGGCCTGTGGGCGTTTTGTGCCCCTTGAACTGATTTTGTGCGTCATTTGCAATTAAAAAATTATGCAAATTTGGCCCATAGATGCAGATGGATGGTTTTCATTTGTAATCAGGGTAGAATTATTACCAATCTAATTTTCTTACAAAGGAAAATGTAAAGTACATCAAAGTATTTGTCTTATGTTATATTATTCATCTTACATATTATATGTTATATATATGTCGAAGTTCAAAATGTAAAAAACAAACAAAAAAAGTTTATTCAGTCAGTATTTAACACAAGTGACACAAAATAAAATAAAATTTATAAAAATGTTGTCCTTTATGTTATGGAAAGACGGTCAAACATTTTGATACAAGAGAAAACTGAAGTTTTAAGAAAATCACTGCAATCATTAGTTGATGGATAAAATCAATCAACTTTAGATTAATTAAATAATTGATAAGTCACTAACTTTCTTCTTCATCGCCATCGAGTTGATCGGGTTGCAGATCTCGTCTCCTGCGTGCTCTCACTGGACCTGGTGGACAGAAATTAATTATTTATGAGCTGTTTTCTTGACTTTCATTGTTTCAATGTTGGCTGGGACTTTAATTCTCTTCCAATGAAGGAAACCAACTTGGAGATGTTGAGAATTGTGTTTTCTGCTACCGTTTCTGCCGGACCTGTTATGTTTTGGCTCGGGTTGCTTTCCCCGGCAGCATTGCTGGCCGTTACTGCCGTGGCAGCAGGGTTGAAGTTGACCAGCTGGCAGGAGAGTCCAGTGGTGCTGCACAGCTTCACCCGGCTTCCCCCCGACACGTTGTAGACCGTGTACATGGTGGCCAACACCGACGCGTCCCAGGACAAGATGGCCGACGTCGAGTTCCCGCTGTATTTAACCCTCTGTGGTGCACAAGGCTCTGCGAGACAAACAGACATGAAATAAACTGCTCTGAACTTT